AGTGAGCACTTATGCAGTTATAGCAGAGCATCCCATTTTTAATTCATTGTGATGTTCCCATTTGTCAGTACCATGAAGATGTATGTGTATGAAGGGGGATGACTTAGAATCTCTTAGGAGTTGATGAAGCAGTTGCCTCTGAAATACTGTTTCATGCCCAAATCTAAAAAGAGAAAGTCCTTGACTTACATTTTTCAAATTGAATATATATATATACACACACACACACCATATCTACAAATATAAGGCAAGTTTTTTTCCCCGGTCAGCATGGGAAAAAAAGTCCAGTGTCTTATATTCACATATCAGCAACCTCGCTACCATTTCTGTGAGTTAACAGACTGGTTATTATTAAACTGCTACTAAAAGTAATACAACCTCTGTCACAAAAAACAACCATCAAGTTGACTGAATGCCACCCATGATGAGCATACCCATAAAACATGGGCTAGCCCTTGACCCATACTGGACAAGCACACTGATGGAAACGTGTGTGTGTGTGTGTGTGTGTGTGTGTGTGTGGTCCTTAAAAAATGGGCCATTATCCCCCCAGGAGGAAACAAGCACCATGCCTTGAGGTACTACAATACCAGGCCGGCACTCAGAGAGTTCCAGCACACTCCTCTGGTTTTTGGTTTTTGGTTTTTTTTAATTTTGTGTCTCAGGCTAAATTAGCCAAATCAGTTCTGAATTCTATCAACCAAGCAGAACTCAAGCCATTCAAGCCTGCATGGCGCTGCCACTGGCAAGTATCCTCCTTCCCAGAATCTTCAGCCTGGGGTTTCAGATATTCCCAAATCCATGGCAGGCATCTTCTGTGCAGGCCCCAAGCCAGGGGTCTTGGAATTCAGATGCCCCCAAGTCTTACTTGCCCATAGCTCAAAGGCCAAAAGAGCAAAGAAGGGAGAAATCCCCTAGTTCCATAAAATAGGCATGTAACTGAGATCCTCCAGTTGGGAGGCTATAACCGACTCTCACAGGGGCTCCTATCCACAGTGCATTGGACAGGACTCCATCCTCCTACACACTGCCATTCAAGGTGATCTTGGCTTGGGGAAACAGACCACTGCAGCTCAGAAAACGAAGTAAATCTTAGCCCAGCATGACCTTTTTGTTCGTTTTTAAATTCACATATTTCGTGTTCCAGGTCAAATCAGCCAAATCAGTTCCGAATCATATTGATCGAGCAGAACTCAGTCATTCCAAAAACCATAGCAATCGAGCAGGCAGGACTCAATAGTTCTTAACACCATTGTATGGCACAGCTACTGACAAGCATCCCCATCCCAGACTCTCACCCTGGGACTTCAGATACTCCCAAATCCATTAGCAGGCATACTACATGCAGCCCCTAGCCCGGAGGTCTTGGGATTCGGATTCCCCCAGAAACCACTCAGTTTTAACCCACAAGAGGCTGATAACAGGTCTACACTTGATCTGAGCCAAAAGGAGTCCAAAACAACCTACCCTGATTTTTTTTTTTTTTATTTGTTTTTAAGGAAAATTTTTTGTCCCCCAGGTCAAATTAGCCAGATCAGATCCAAATAAATCATCCAAGAACCACACGTGGCCTTACTCCTGGCAAGTATCCTTCACTAGCCCCTGATACCAGAACAGGTCAGTGCAGCCCATTTGAATAAGATATAGTGCCCATTGTACTCAGTCCCTCTCAGCACCAACTCTTTTTATGTGGTAGTGAACCACTCCATCAAACATTTCAATTTTCTCTTTACTCTCACAACTGAGCTGTGCCTTTCTTTCCCATTTCCAGTGATTCCCATTTCTTCACCAGCCTTAATGTCTGGCAAACATCACCAAACATCTATGTAACTAAGAGGCCTTGTTGCTCCCTCTCTCAGCCTGTCACATATAATTATTGTGGCCCTGCCCTCTATGGGGTGGAGACAGAAAAGGCAGCCCTGCACCTCATCTGCATATAAATTGTTGGAGAGTCCCAGAACTTGTAACATGAACATCTGGTTCCAGTCACAAGTGAAGGGCTAATTAGCATGTGGGTCCTTTGTAGGGGGAGAGGGGATATCTGGAGTACACATGCATACTGAGCAGTGCTGCGCTGTCAGGTCACCATGGTTTGAAACGCTGTTGACTCTGCTGGGGCCCAGCCCAATGAACTATGTGGTAAATTGTGAGCCTTTTGGTTTTGGACTAACATCATAAGCAAAAAAAAATAAATTGTACTATGTTTAAGCAAGCATAAGTGGTGCTCAAAAGTGTGTTTATGGAATACCTGTGCTGAAACTTTTAGCAGTCAGGGTTAGGGCCAGAGTCAGACCCACAGCAGTTTCCTGTTTCACTCTGTAGTTTCTGCTCTCCTCTCAGTCCCTTTTCTCCTTTCTGTCATATGAAGCTCACTTCTACATTGTACTTGGGGAGGGAGCAGCATCTGACAGGGGTGCAGAATGAAGCCTTGTGGGGCAGAGGGCAAGGGGGCTACCTGACCCCACCCCTCCCAGCCACTATTTTCCCTGTTGTAGCGGTAGGAGGGGGATGAATTCAAGACAATACTCTGATCATCAGATTCTACATCTGGTAAATTATAACAAATTTATAAATTTTCCGTGCATACTACCTAATTTGGGGGGGTTGTCTTACATTCAGGATCGTCTTGTATTTGAGTAAATACAGTACCTACATTTTGGGGCAGATTGGGCTGAAAATTCTCCATTCAAAACTTTATGATCCAAAGAAAAATAATTTGCAGATATGTATTTGATATGTTGTGAAAGCTATTGTCACTTACTACATGTCAAATAATGACTCAGGTGATCAACAATCAGTAGACCTTTTGAAATGGAAGTGAAATCTCTGACAAAATATGCTACCAGGTTTTATTGTGATGCTGAGTCAGCATTTAGGAATCAGAGCTCCTGTGTGACAATCCAAGAAACAAAACAAATGCTCTGTTTTTATTAGATGGACTTTCATAAAATCTCATAAAAGTGACTGAGGGTTATAAAAATTTGCTGGGTCAAACAGGTGGAACGAAAAGTGGCTGTATAATCAGTATTAGTCACTTCTCTGTGCTTCACTGAAATACAATATGAAGAACTGTCTGCTTCCTCTCTTAGAGTAACTCTTTGCTAAGTTTTGATTGTGAAGCCCCTGAGTTTACAAATGGAAGCTTGCAAGTCTTTTTAGGATCACAGCCATCATTGTCCAGGTGGCTGCATTTACAAGAGTAGCAAATGGTATGGTATGGTATGGTATGGTATGGTATGGTATGGTAAAACGGATTAAGAGTAAGATGGTCATTGTGATCTGCAACTCAAAGACATGGGCTGAATCACCAGTTCTTCCATAGGCTTTTTACTATATTTTCTTTCATATAACCTGCATCTTTTCTCTCAAAGCCAGCCAGCGGAAATTGGGATGTGCATTCTATGCAAGGAAAAGGGATCCCCATAGGTCTGTAAATGGGAGTGAGGAAGTGGAGCAGTGACAGCTTTAATTGCTGTGGCTCTGAAAGCCCCCCTGCTACTGCCCTCCTTCCCCCGCCACCACTAAATTTCCAGGTCCATGGGGAGCCCCTCTCCCCATGGATCTGGAAATTTAGTGGTGGGTGGGAGGTTTTCTGTACAAAGGTTTTTTGCTTCCTAATCCAAATGATGGAGCATGTATTAAAAAGGAGGGAGCTGAAGAGATGGTTTTCAATTCCTCTCCCACTTCAATCAGCTTTATTCCCAGGGCAGTCACATTGATTACATCAGGAATGAATGCACTGAAGTCATTCTTGAATAAGTGATTCCTGGCTGGGGTTGGTTTTTGGTACTGACCTCAGTGAAGTCCTTCCCAGTACACCCTGTAATGAGTGGGAAGAAAGACAGGCCCTAGATTTAATACATAATTAACATTGGTTCCTCTTCTTTTCTGTTTCTTTCAAGCTTGATTCCCTATGGCAGATTTGGATCTATTTCATCTTTGCACTAAATGATTGGTGTTGCTCACAGCTGGATGGACTCAACCAGTAAACAAAATTTCCTCCATCCAGTGGCAGGGTTGGTTGTGTGCACACAGATTCAGACAGGGACCTTCTTGGCCTTTAAGCAGTGATGCTACCAGGTAAGAGGAAGTGAAGATCCTCTTGCTGATCAACATATGCAACACTTGTCCTAAATGGAGTCCTAGGTCTTCTGTTTACAGCAGGGGTTTTCAACCTTTTTTAATAAGCGTACCCTTGGCAGCCGAATGTGAGGGGGAGGGGGGAAGGGAGCAGGGATGGTGGTGTGTGGCCAGATATGGAGCAGCGGCAACGTGGAGTTGTGGATGGTGACAGCAACCACTGCCGTGTGCGAACTCCCCACCATGTCCAACTGGCTGGGTGGCGCCTGTGCAGCCCTGCAGAAAGGTGCCACTGCCCTTGCCCTGCCCTGGCCCTACTCCTGGGAGGCAGCAGCACAGGGTGATGGGTGGTGGCTCTCCAACCTCGCCTGCCTGCATGTACACTCTTGGGCCTTCCCAAGTACCCCCGGGGGTACGCATACCCCGGGTTGACAACTCCTGGTTTACAGCAAGATATGTTTTCATACATCAGCTATCTATACCAATTCCTTAAGCTAACTCTAGACTATTACATCTTTCTCCCTTTAGCTTCACGAACTTCCATTTTAGCTCTTCTGCTTCCATTGGAAACAAATAGTAGGGGCAAATGGAATAAATACCACTGTGACCTTGCACGTACGGGAACAATGTCCTCATGGTGATAAAGAATAATCATTCATGTTTCTCTAGCCCCTTTCAGCCAGGTACCTGAATGCACTGAGCAGTAATTGAATGTCTCCTACCACTAAGGTGAAGCAAACTTTATCATTCCTGTTAACAGACAGCCAAGCCAAGCCCAAGGTCATGCAATGAGTCACTGTCACAACCAGCATTATGACACAGGCCTGCCAACTCCTCGTCCTGTGCTCTAGCCATTCGGGGATGCCTCCACCGTGGCTAGCATGTGCATGAGTTTGGTCCCCTCAGAGCTTTCCCTGTACCTGAATATGACTGGCCCGCAGTAAGGTGGATGGATCTTGATGCACATGTCCTCCAGCTGCAGCCTTTCCATGGGGCTGATGTCATAGGCATGCTTTGGGTAGCTCACCAGCCAGCCATAGTCCACACCCGTCTTTATCTTGCGATATTCATTTTCCCTCTCATGTTGCTGCTTCTCTGCTTGCTTGATCTGCCAGTTGAGCTCCATCATGAGCGTCTCCACCACCATCTCAGTGGGGTTTCTCTGGGAGACCCGGTTCTGTGGCTCGTTCCATTTGAACCAGGAAGCCAGCGACATGGTGCCCCAGGATTTTACCTGTAAAGAAAAAAATATTATGTTCCTTGTTAATGCTATCAGTTCGTCTGATTCCCGTGCCCAAACCATAGTATATACACACCACAGGCAGGGCAGAGGAAGTGGTTTTTGAAGAGCTCATCATTCAGCAGCTTCACATGGAGAATAATTGGGTCAAGTACCTTGGAAAATCTCCCAGTAAGGATCAGACTGTGCCTCCCTTTTGTGCTGAGGATCAGAGGGGGTGCAAAGAAGCACTGTCCCACCTGTTGTCCCATTCACACCCTCATTAAAGGTCTAGTTGCAGTCTCAGTGTCTGAGCTTAGAAGAGCACAGTACCTACTCTCGCCTGGTAACCATGGAGAAGCATCATATATTAAGGAGGCAGAAGTGGGGCTAAAACATCTACAGTTACAGCCCAGAGCATCTGTGTGCGTGACTGCATAATGATCACTGAGGACTCGGCCCTGATGAACCATGTATCCCCAACTGTCCAGTGAGATAGTGCTGCTTCATGGCAGAGCTGTTCCTTAAAAACACCATGGACCCAAGAATGTACATTTCTGAGATCTATGATCTAGCAGCAAGAGAATTCCCAGGAGGTGATTGAATAGCAGGGCTTGTTTACTGCTGCTGATACAGGAAGGTCCAGCTTTTCATGCATGTCTCTGAAAACACTCTCTGCAAGTGGGTTAGGATTATCATATTTTTTGACATTGATGTTTTTAGATGTTGTATCACTGCCCAATGGAATCCACAAGCCTGAGCTTAGGCCTCTAGACCCCATAAACAAAGCAAGACGACAGGTCAGTATCTACAAATGGGATTACCCAAACCAGAGCACTGCCAAAGGCAGCCAATAGGAAATATCAAGGAGAGGGGCATAACGGAAGCCCTGCCCTTCACAGGGATGTAGACACCCAACTCTGTCCTGCAGGGAGGTGCTTGTCTCTGCCCAGGATTCACAACCTGAACCTGCTCCTGGATTTAGAAACCTAAGCCAACCTTTTCTCCAAAGATAAGACTGGGAAAGGCAGTGATGTCATCCCATGCCTTATTGTATCCAGTAGCTCAGTGGTTACAGCACTTTTCTGGGATGTGGAGACCAGGGCTTCAATTTCTTTCTTGGTTAGAGAGGATTTGAACATGCATCTCTCATCTTCCAGGTCAATGCTCAAACCACCTGGCTAAGCTCTAAGACAGGAGCTAGTAATCCTTTCAAGTCACAGGCTGGAACACCTCAGCTCTGGGCTGACATAGGCCAGGTGGCTTTCATGGTACATCAGTGGCAGAGGGCTTTTCTCACTCCCACACCAGAACCAGGCAGCTAGGAGCTGTGCTCATGCTGCAGTCACTTCTTCCAGCCCCCAACTTCCCAGATGGGGCATGAGTGCAGCTTCCAACTAGTGGAGAATTGCACCAGGGCTGGGCAGCTGGAAGCTGTGTCTACGATGCTTCCACCTCTGTGCCACCAGCTGGGATTTGGGGAGTAGGAGGGGCGCAGAAGATATGGCAACAGTGAGAATGTAGCTTCTAGCTGCCCATCCCCAATGCCGCTCCCCACCAGTTGGAAGCTGCACCCATGCTGCAGTGGCAGCAAAAGTGCAGCTGGGAGTTGTCTGGTCTCAGCACAGCTTCTGACTGCTTAGCCCCAGTGCAGGCATGGGTATGGGCATGGGCAAAGCCCTCAACCTCTGTGGGCTAGATCCAGTGGTTCACAGGCTGTATGTTACCAATCCCTGCTCTAGGATATTTTCGAGGGGGAGGTGAGATTCTTAATCCCATCAGTTGAAGCAAAGAATAACTAAATATTAATTTGGTCAGAAAGAGGGCATGACTAGCCCAGTGGTTAGGATGCTCCAGGGGAGAGAGACTGGGCTTCCAGTCCCTGCTCCATTGACTCTTTAATACAAAATACATAAACAGTTAGCAGTTAAGGCAGCCCCTCTGGAAAGTGGGTGATTTAATCCCTGCTGCACTAAGCCAGTGATTCTCAGCCAAGGTGGCTTGGCCCCCTGGGGTGCCACAAGATCCTTTAAAGGGTGCTTCTGAGTGCTGTGCAATATTAGCACTGTAAGATGAGGTAGCTCCTGCACCAGATTCACAGGATAAACCCAGAGATTTTAAATAGGAAACATGCTGACCTGTTGTGGTCTTTCACAGATCTTTGCAACAGAAGAATTGTTCTGGTATTTTTCCATAGAGAATGCATTGAAAACTGAGAGCTGGTATTTCCTCCGGGGTGCCTGCAGTCTGAAAGGGTGGAGAGCCACTACCCTAGCCTAGACAGTCATGCTCACATTCCATGCAAAGGGGACAAGATGCAGCCCTATCCCACCAATAGGCCCAGTGCCGTCACAGTCTTCTGCTGCAATGTACCTCCACAGAAACCAGGGGAAATACAGAATTTGCCTCTAGATAGCACCTCATATTTCTTAGGGGGCATGGTGGTGTTGGCTGGCTCCTCTTTGGTTTGCAAAGCCAGATGTCAGGGCAGTTTTAGATTTGAGAGCTGTCTTACTGGCCTGCCCAGTAAACCATCTCCAGTCACCATACAGCTCTTAGCAGTAGCAGAAGCAGTTGGATTTGTCACATAGTCAGGCAGAGCTTTGAGTTTAAACAGAGGAGTTGTACACAGAGGAGCCTGGGCCAGCACAAACAAGGTACTATCACAAGTGCTAATGGAGCAGAGAGGATTGTGCCAGGGAAAGTACCAACAAGCACAGGCCTGCACTATAATTCTCACATGACGCTCACCTGGGCAGCAGGGCAGGCTGTGTACTGTACTTAAGAGGCAGAACAAGCCACACCAATTAGCTCTTTAAAAGACCAATGAAAACTCTGCTATTTAATCCCCTCCTGTAATCACTTTAACAGCAAACAGGAACAAAGCTATTACTGACCATTGTATTTATGACTATATTTCACACAAAAGAGACTGGGGCAAGAGCCAGTGAAGGAGAGCACGCCCAGAACCAATACCTGCTTTTTCTTCAACATAATACACTTACACGCCTTGTTGCTTCCATCCATTAGCCCTCAGGGAGAAGGGTATACTCTGCTGAGTTTACAGAGAGCCTAATGTTGAGCTAGAACTTGGACTGTTGCCACTGCCAGGAAATGGCATATCACAGTGCAAGAGGCTAGAGAAAAAGATAAAGGGCTGAGGACCTGCAGGGTGGTGAGTGAGTGATACCATCCAGCATGGTTAAAAGTGTGCTCAGACTTCTGTCTGAGCAGAGACTGCAGGGGCTGGAGGACTCAGCAGGGCTGGTCAAAAGTTGGGTTTCTGAACAAAATTATTTTGTTGTGAAAAGTGTCTTCTCCCACATACGTATTTTAAAGAGGGAAGGGAAGAGAGACCACACCAGCAGAAAGAATGCCTTGTCACTGAGCTACTCCAAAATCTATCCTTCACAGTGCTTTCTTGATAGAAAAATTAAGAATTTTCATAACTCTCCATTTTTGCTAAAAAAAAAAATCAGAGGGGATTCACAAAAACAGTGTATTAATTTGAAACAATAGGGGACTGTCTTAAAAGTCTTAAATGGCAACCTGTGGCCTTCAGTTTTCAGTGAAACCCAAAAAGATATTTGAAGAAACAACCTTGTGATTAAAACTAACCCAGAACAGAATGTTTTTTGCCGTTACAGTCATTTCCAGAGGAGAACCGTCTTTCCTGATTGTCCTGTTTGACTTCCATTAATAACCTGGTACTTTATGCTGCTGCCAGATGTACCAGATCCCCTCCCCGTGCTTTCTATGGAACATTGATAAGAAGGAACAATGGGATCATAATAGGTGGCATGGAGAACTGGCAGTGAAGCAGTTAATGCAACACAAACAGGAAGAATATAATGTCTGCAGTTTTCTGCTTGCTTTAAAATGACACGCATGTGCATTATGATTCACCTCTATTTCATTTGCACTCTTCAGAACACAATCTATTTCAAGCACTCAACAAGATGCTAAGCACCAACACTTCAGCTTTTCCTCTGGATCAAAAAACCTAAGATAATTTTCCCCTGGATTTCCTGAGTCAAACGTAGTGTAGTGAAGTCCAGAGACAGACAAATACTTATAAAGCTCTATATGTGGTCTCCTATATCTACACTTAGGTTGATGCCTTCCCCTCTTACAAAACTATTAAAATTAGATGCTCAAATAGATGGATAAAATAAAAATAAAAATTTCCAAAGCTCCTATAGGAGACTTAAGATAATTAGTCCCAGTGAATTTTAATAGATTGAATGTACTTAAATCTCTTAGTTGCTTTTGAAAAGACCACCTTTATGGTTACAGGTAGAACTTGAAAATGGCACTAGGTTCAGAAATCAGGGGGAAAATGAATTTCATATCTGAGACCTAGAGCAGACTCTGACACACTAATGCAGTATTAATTACCAAAAGTTTGTAATCTCTCAGAAATCCAGGTGGCATTTAGAATATTCTAAGTGTCTTACAATTGCCTTCCAAATTCTTAACAGCTTTTGCAGATCTAGCCAATTGTTCATTGATACACATGTCATTAAAAGAATCCAAAGTACTAAAGAAATTATCATTAAAAGGACTATGTTTCATTTTTTGCATTCCAAGTTAAATATTTTAAAGCCTAATTCTTAGGCTTTATACTGACATAAATTACCAATGGACAAAGTAACATGCTATAATGCTATATAATGCTATGTTATAATGTAATATAAATTACAATGGGTGCATCTACGTGTTCATTAATGCGCTTTTGGTAATCCACATTAAATTTAGCACTTACATTGTGAGGTACTGGAAAAAGGTGCGTTAGCTTATTCTAATGAGCAAAAGTGCACAGTTTTTGGTGATGCTTTATATGCATTAAAATAAGCTAATGCGCATTAAAGTGAATGTGTAGATGTGTACACTGTTCCTTTTAAGAGGAAACAGACAGGCACTTATCCCAGTGTGGCAGACTATAGGTTGCTATAACTGCAGCCCACCATTAACTGGCAAGGGAGCTGGTAATCCCCTGT